AACAAAAACAGTGTTTTAATGCCTAAAGGCTAGGCTAATTCAGGTGCATTCAGTAGTCATTCATTTAGGGCTGACCCTCCGCGTGGTGTTGAAGAGAAAACCGTGCTTTCAGCTTCAGCTCCGAACCGCGCCCCTGAAAACACCGTTTGTTGTGAATGAGCGTTTTTAGACTTGCTTATTTTTACAGCAGGCAGTTGTTTAATGCTGACTTTAACAAATCCAATCAAAGTTTGCACATGCACTCTGGTGGGCGAGTATGCACTTGATTAGGAGAGAATTTCTACTGACTGTATTATAATGTGCTGCATTCTTTTTTGCACAGGAAGCATCCTGTTTGTGTTGAGCGAGTTTCTGTGCTGAAGATACCTGGAAGACAGAGAGGATGGCTCTGGCAGCCAGCTTCAGTGCATGTCGTCCAGAGATGTGTGAGTCACCACACCCACCTCCTGACATGCATATACACTTTACATACTATTCATGTCTGGCGTTCTCCAATTAAATATTTACATATTTTCATGGCACTATGGATAACTGTCAATATCCTATATTGCTTAGGGAGTGGACTTGTGGTGCGCTTTCAAAAAATACACTGACATTTTTGATGAATTATAATGAGTTATTGTGGATGTAATGGGTTCGGAAAGGCAAATAAACGTACAGTCTAGTAAGTCAGAAAATGACATCATCTACTATAGATGTATTTTTAAAAACCAGTTAAGAACGATGCAATCAATCAATCATCATCAATCATCAATCAATCAATCATCCATCCATCCATTCATCTTCCCGCTTATCCGGTGGCTCGGGGTCGCGGAGCGTAGCATTCAGCAGAGAGCCCAAACTTTCTCTTCCCTGCGCCACATCAAACCAGCTCTGACTGGGGGGAATTCCCAAGGCGGCCTTCCCAGCGCCAGCGAAGAGATAATAATTTCCCTCCAATCTGGTTCTAGCCGTCTACCCCGTTTTGGTCTCTTCCCAGGCTGGACGTGCCCTGCCGAACACCCTCCCTAGCGGAGGCGCCCAGGTGGCATCGCTCTAACCTAGGTGCCCGAACCAACCTCAACGGCTCTCGACGCGGAAGGAGGAGCGGCTCAACTGCCGAGTTCCCTCCCTGGATGACCGAACTTCTCACCTTATCCCTCAAGGCGAGACCCAAGCCACCCTTGCGGAGAAAACCCATCTCGGCCGCTTGTACCCGCGATCTCGTTCTTTCGGTCATGACCCATCCTTCATGACCATAGGTGAGGGTAGGAACGAAAATGGCGCGGTAGACAGAGAGCTTTGCCTTCTGGCTCAGCTCCCTTTTCGTCACAACGGTGCGGTAAAGAGACTGCAGTACCGCTCCCGCTGCTCCGATTCTCCGACCCATCTCACGCTCCATTGTTCCCTCACTCGAGAACAAGACCCCGAGATACTTGAACTCCTTCACTTGGGGTATCAATCAATCAATCAATCTTTATTTATATAGCCCAATATCACAAATGTTACATTTGTCTCAGTGGACTTCACAGTTTGTACAGAATATCAGTATGACACCCCCTGACCCTCACATCGTATGCAATATGACAATATCAGAAATCTAAGATGATATCTCGTACTATGGCACAATATTGATATATTAGTGCTACACTGCCCATCCTACCTCAAATGTATTCACTTTACAATCAAATAAAAGCAGCAAATTGAGCAGTTGGAAACAAGCATTTTGACCATATAAAATGAATTTATTATCATGTCCTACAATAAAAGTCTTTACATGTTTGTTTTTTAATCCTTCACCTGTCTTTCTTTAATACAAGCAAGCCCTCCCTGATGACAGCTACACCTCAGAGGATCATGACGTATTCACCATCTCTGGAAGGACCTGCATCGAGGAGGGAGACAGCGCCCAGGTCCTCAGCATTGTCCTGGATGAGAAGAACCAGGTACTGAGGCTGAGCCCTGTTCCAGCACTTAGACTTGTTCACGTGTGTGTTGCACACTGCATTAAAACTCTCCTCTTGTCCCCCTCTCTGCAGGAGATAGTGAGGTGTATGGGCTGGAACCTGCTGCCTCCTCTGATCCAGGTTCTGATGAACAAAGACAGCGAGAAGCTCTCTCAATGCCTAGCCATTTTCAACCACCTGCTACAGGTCTGTTCATAAAATATATAGGATAAAACACAAGTTATAATTTGATAAGATCCACTATCCAAACTAGCACAGTGTAGATGCGTAGTAGGTATAATTTTCATTGATATAGCACTTTTAAAACAATGTTACAGAGGGCTGCCGAAATAATTGAATTTGTATCAAAATTGCATTATGGACCAGTGTTTGTTTTGTTTTCAGACCTGCAGACCCAAAGAGCTTCTGATTGGCCTGCTGGAGCAGCTGGAGCAGGACGACCCCGTGGCCATAGCAGAGAGCCTCCACCTGCTGCTGAAGCCTCTGCAGAGAGGTAACACATCTGTACTGTCAGGGCTGCTGCTGAAGATTATTCATAATGGGTTATGTATTACTTATGGGGCTGAAAAGCTCATTCTGTGGGGACATGGGAACCGGCGAGCAAAACTGTGGACTACTTTGTTAGTTGCCAGTGAAAAAAAGGAGAGTAAAATTAAAGATTTAAATTATATATTTTGATATATATTTTGATATATTTTTTTTACTTTGTGAACATGTATGTCTATGATAATAAAAGAGGAATGTATTACGTATATTTATCAAATATATAAAAACATTTCCATCCGGTTTTTAAAACTCCAAGTACATCCAAAGATATTCACTTTATTGTGATACAGAACGGAGAGAAGCATGAAATATTCTGTTAAGCTTTTTTTTTTCAAGAAACTGTCTCTCAGGGCTACTTAACATTTAATAAACTATGAATGTGTCATACTCACTTAACGGGAAGAAACTCAGCTAACTGATGATACGAACCATTTTTACCGAAACAAAACACAAGTCTCACAAGAAGTGTCTAAATTAGCCCTGAGCGAAAAAATGCTAACGCACTTAGCACAGAACTCTAGGTATAAATACTTTATTACTTATCGGATCTGCACAAACAAGTTATTAGCTAGCAAGCTGAGATTCCACAGATTCTAGAGGTGTTAGTATCATCACTGAGCGATCAGAACTCGCGACATGGGAAGCAAACACAGACATCACGACACGGAGCTTTATGGAGCAAAAACGGGAGAAATGTCTTACCTGTTGCTGTTTCTGATCAAAAGTTGTGTTCAATGGCATTAAAACGAGAAAAACGCTGCTGAAGGTTAATCCATAATCGATAGATTTATGTTAATAGAAAATGATAAAAGTAGGGTAGACATGTGGATATTATCCGGCTGAACAAAACGTGCATTTATCTAACAGGTATGTTTCCCACAGATCTTATTTTGAGCTATTTTCTAAAATCCTATGGAGAAATATCATTGCTTTTTTGTGGAGGGAACCAATGCGCAGCTTACTTCCGGGTTTTAGGACACGTCGCTGCAGCTCTCTCGTCTGCTCTTCACACACCACACTTTTCGCGGCACACGTACTTACAGCCAATCAACTCTGAATTATGTGAGATNACTGCTCGCACAATTACGGGGCATTAATGCTGCCCAAAAAATGCTGGAGTCAGCCTGAGGAACAATGACTGTCGTTTATGGAAGGAAAGTCGCATCTCATCTGACTGTCTGTCTGTCTGTCCGTCCGTCCGTCCGTCCGTCCGTCCGTCCGTCCGTCCGTCCGTGCGTGCGTGCGTGCGTGCGTGCGTGCGTGCGTGCGTGCGTGCGTGCGTGCGTGCAAACTGAATCAGCTGGTATTCCCGGGATTTCTTATTCCCCGAAATAAAATATACATGACTTTGCTTAAAGTCTGAGCAGCCATGGAAAGGTTAGAACGTTTGGGAGGAGATATTTAGTATCTTATAAAAGCAGCCAGTATTAAAAGCCTTAACGTCTCATGGAAAAGTTTTACTCACTTGTGTGTATGGCACTGAATATAACATCCTATGAAGGTTTCCTACAGCCTAAGGCGAGTAAGATTCAACACTTTATTAATGGCACTAAGAATATAATTTAAGACCAATTTTAGGCCTTTTTTTGTGATTAAGTTCTGCATAATCTCAGACAAATATGTAAAAAAAATGTAAGCCTTATTTATAGGACCTACCAACCTAGATAACATTTGAGTTTAAGGAACTCTGTCCAATGGAAAAGTCAGGATTTTGGACATTTGGGGTGAGAAAAGTTTGGAATTTGTATGCCTCTGTTTTGGAACAACTGTGAAATGTTATGAGCCACAACAATGCCGAAAAGATCTTGGGATTTTATTGGGAATTATTCATTTGCAGGCTGTCATGCACCATCACTCACACACCAAGAAACACGCGCAGATAGGCTTTGTTTTGTTTTTCAGTTTTTTTTACAGCTCAAGGTGAACTTTTGAATCTCCTGACTTGGAAGAAGAAAAAAAAAACTGATCCCCCTTCCCTATTGAAACGCCTTCACTGAGGGCCTGTTTAGTGTGATGCACATTTATGTTTGAACAGTGCTAAGTGCGGGGAGTAGTGGAAAACAAAGGGGCTGATGTAAGAAGACAAACAGGAAGGCAAGAATGTGAGGTCACTGGAGGACAAAAGGAAGATTTGGTGCACTGCATAAAGAGATAAACTAATTTCTTGTCGCAAAATATCAACAGACAATAGGTTATTCTGCAGTCTCAGAGAAACATTTCAAAATCTGGACAAAAAGGAACAGAGATGACATTTCCTGAACTTAGCTGGCCAACACATTTTGACAAAAAGTTGGGTTTAGGCAAAGCAATATATCTTCTGCTTCAACGGCACTCTAGATCTATTTCTGCCTTCATCAGACTTTTTCAAAACATAGATACTGTGGCCCCCCCACCTTGCCTGCCCGAAGGTTCAACAGTGTTTACCGAAAGGCACGGTAAATAAGAGTTTATATTTAGATCAGTCACACTGTGAAGAAACTCACCGGGTGTATTTACATGTAATATCTTTTCTCTATCCTTTTTCCTGACAGTGCACAAAGCACAGTGGGGATCCTACTGCAGCGTTAACTTTATCAAACTTAGCAAAAACAGCAAATCGCGACAGCATCCATGCACACAAACTTTAACTGCCACATGATAAAGCTCATCCAGAAGGCCGGTAACAAGGTCCCTGCATCTAAAGGATGATATTTGCTTTTCAGTGCTTCATTTAAGTGCTGCCTTTCATCCTCTGCAGAGCATTGAGATGCTCCTAATGCAGCTACCAACGCATACTAAACTTTATATTCCTAGAATCCAAAGCGTCTCTCTCTGTGGAATGCTGCAAACTTTTTCTTTTTTCTTCTCACAGTCAGAGCTGTCACAGCGAGCAGTGAGGCACGGGGTGTGAGAAATACCAGCAAACCATTGGTGATTATGCAGGAGAGGGAGCCTCTTAGAGTAAAAAAAAAAGGAGACTCTTAACTGAGAGTGAAAGTGGGAGAAGACAAAGAGGCAGCTCAACTGGCAACATGACAAATCTAAAAGACCAAAAAACTAGTTTACGCAGAAAAATAATCTCTGCATGTACAGTAATGGTGTTACAATAAAATAAGAGACAGGCTACTTCATCCACTGGGAAATACATAAAATACTTGTTTGATGAGGCTATTTTGAATCCTACAGGAGCTGTGTCTCAACCAATGTAATATACTAGTTTGACTGTGATTGTGCGTAATAATATTCCAAATACACAGTGAATGAAGTGTGAAACTAGAACCAAAATGGACCAAACTTTTCAGGATGGACAGACTGATGGTGACATGAGGATGACAGCAGGGAGGGGGGAGAGTGCCACCTATTGGAATAACAAAGACACTTCACTTCTGAAAAATACAATACAGTACATTAGAAACAGCTTCATGTCACACCTAGCAAAGCCATCTCTTATTAGTTCAGGGTGTGCATGTGTGGATTCTAATGGATGTGCTTGAATGTATCCCCATTGCCACTTATTACAAATATCTAATTTTGCATTCGGCACTTAAATAAAACAACCATGTGATAATCTTCAAGGGGATTAAATGGCAGATATTGCACCTTTTCACATGCGTCATTTCAACACATTCTAAGAATACAGTGTTGATCGTGTTTGTCACACATGCCGTCTCACAACCTGAGTCATAAAACGTGCCTGCAAAACAGAAGCGTGTCCCATCATGTTTAAATGAGATTGTGTTGCTTTTTCTCCTTTGGCTAAAATTGAATGTCACATTTCTACAGACAGAAATAAATCAAAAGCAACCATAAATAAATAAATATTCTGCTGTCCTTGTCCTTAGTCCTGTTGGTTCTTGCCCATTTCTGTCTGAGTGTGGATATTCAAAACAGATTCAACCGTCAAAAATGTTCTTGTTTGCCTTTTGAATACAAAAGGATCTTTAATGCAGTGAACTACCTCAAGAATAATATAGTTTTGTTACATTTAAGAAAGTTTAAACATTGTTAACGTTTCATTTCTGCTGTTCTATGCTACTGGCCAAGAAAAGAAAATGTAGTATCATGTTAAAGCCTTGTTGTATTCATAATAAATTCATTCATAAAATGTTTTCTCAATTTAGATTTAAGTTATACATTTTAGTATCATGACAACTACGTGTTCGACATGATATGGATTTAGACATACAATTTGTTCCATTAGATTGTATTGATGTCACATAAAATGTGCTGAGTGCAAGCCCAGCTTGTTACATGTTAATGCATGTTAAATAGCCAACTGGGGAGCAAGGCGTTGCTGCTGGGAATGATTACTCATTGCTATCCCAGAACTACCCTGGGTAAATAAAGGGCAAAAAGTAGATAATATATGCTATTTTTTTATATACACACTTAAAAAATATAAACCTGTGCATACTAAGAGAACGAGGGGCAAAAATAGACACCGACAGAGACAAGCGCATAATAAGGAGATTCATCTGTGACAATTAGGAGAATAGATTTTTTTTTCTAAAAAACAATGTGACATATTTATGCACGTTTATCCCAGATGGTAAGTAAAGATTGTGATTCCAACACCAAATGGTCAACAGCTAAGTAAGGAAGTAGGTGTTACAATTATTTAGTGGTGAATGGAGAGCATTTTTTTGCAGACATACCGAGCATGTTGAAGATAAAGTCCTTGGCGGTGTGGACCTCTAAGGCAGTCTGGTCTCCGAACTCTCCCTGCTCAAGTACCACCAGCTCGGACACCTGCGCTGACAACTGCTCCAGGGTGGCCCCCGACCGGAAGTCGACCTCTGACAGCTTCTTGGCGGGGGCTGGGGAGCGCGGGGCCACCGCACTCATCAGGGACTCCATGTCTACAACTCTGTAGGGTAGAAATAATATATCAGTTGTTTGGTTAGCTAGATTGGGGGTTTTTATTATCACAACAGCCCTATGTTCATTGCCAACTCAAATAAACTATGC